ATCCAATTCCGTTACGGAATTCCGGGAATTGCATCAAGACGGAATTCAGTGGAATTGGACGGAATTCCTGGGAATTCCTACCGATTCCCACCAATTCCGGAATTGCGTGAACTACTTCTAATTACGGAATTACATGGAATTCCTACCGATTCCGGAATTCCTACCAATTCCGGAATTATACGGAATTCCTACCGATTCCGGAATTATACGGAATTCCTACCAATTCCGGAATTATACGGAATTCCTACCAATGCCGGAATTGGACGGAACTCGATCAATTTTCGAGTGGGTATCGGATATTATGTGTCGATCGAGTTCCCGGAATTGAAAGGAATCGATTCCGGAGCGGAACTGGTTCCTGAAATGTTCAACATTGCGGAATAGGATGACTGCTCGTTGGGGGACCTTCATGGTCATACATATCAGCTGTATGTTGGCTTTATGGTCGAATGATTCATGAAGAATTAGGTAGAATACCAATTGAACTTATTGTTAGTAGTTGGGGTGGAACTCCTATTGAACTTTGGATGCCACCACAACCATTACATGATTGTGGAATTTCATCCTAAGTTAATTATTATTACTATTATTAGAAGTGAAATAATTCCATTAGAAAATTATAATAAACCTTTGCAAATCCACGAAACATTAAATAATTCAATTTTATATAATGCAATGATTTATCCTTTTACACGTATGGTTATCTACGGTGTTATTTGATATCAAGGTAAATTAGATTCGATTATATTTTCACATGTATAGGTGAAGCAAATTCAGAATATAATCGTGACAAATATACATGTACATTTTCAAAACTGATTCAATCTTGGCGTGAAATATGGCATGAACGTACTAATACAATAACTCATATTCAATTTCCATTTGGATTTGTTCAAGTAAATTTTGTTTATTTTATTCTGTAGTTATCAATAAATACAAATAATAGTAAAATAGTTGGTGGATTTCCATGGATTCGTTGGCATCAAACATTTGATATTGGATATGTACCAAATAATATTATACCAAATGTTTTTATGGCTGTTGCTTTAGATTTACGTGATGATCCATAGAAGTTTGTTTGCAGCTTTTTGTCTTTCGAAATTAGAAAATATTTTTTAGATTTCTTTAGTATTCATCTACGAACTAAACATGATGTTGCTTATCGTTTATCTCGATCAGGTCTTGCTATTGCTTATAATCGTTCAATCGAATTTCAAGGTCCTATTCTATCAAATATAAATGTATCGAGTGATAGAGAACGAATTTATATAACATATACTGCTGTACAAGATATTACTTTTAGAAATTTAAATGGATTTCAAGTATTTATTTTAATATTTCTTGTATAAATATTATTTTTCGAATTTTAGATTTGTTGTCAAGGTGAAATATGTGCAACGAATGATGATGCTTGGTTACCATTATCAATTTCAGATAAAAGTCATTTAACAATTATTTTAAGAATTCGAAATGCATGTACAGGAAAATCTATTTATGGCATGAAACACTATGTCCATATAAACAAGCAGCTATGTATAGTATTACAGATACAAATTTACCTTCTCCACCTTATATTCACATTTTTTGAATTTTTATTCACAAAAACAAAATCATGTTTTATCTAACAAAGACATTTTCCCTTTTTTCATTGTATTTTTATTTGTTAGTCAACTGAAAGTCTAATATGATTTATGTTTGTTTTGTCTAGAGTCCTGCATCGGCATTTTTCAAAGTAGATATATCAACTTAGTTTCTGGGCTCTTTTTAACATGGACCATCTTGAGGGTGTGGGTGTGAATAGTTTGACAATGCATTACTCACACCCACACCTACACCCTTTTATTATAAAAATAAATCTAAAACAATCGATACCTTTCTCTATGTTTGAATTTGAATAGTACTGAATATAATTGTACCTTTGCCAAAACTCAGCCGATTATAATTAGATCTTCTATTCTATTCGTGTTAACTAAAAAAAATTTATAAATTCTCTGCGCTCTCATAACAGAACTATCTTGTTTATTTGATTTGTTCTTGCGCAATATTAACTCATATTATCACAGCAAAAATAATTCTCCAAGAATACATTTTAATAATAATGTTAATATCAATTACATTGACTATCTTTATATTAATTATGGTGGGATAAAGCAGATAGTTCGAGACAAATTTGTCTTGCAATGAATTTGATGGTAGTTCTGCATGTTTTAGTCATAGCGGTGGATTTCATTTAATTCAAAAAATGTTTATACACGTGTAACACCTTATATGACATGAATCAAAAACATCATCGGATAAATTATGATTAAAACACGAGTTTTTTTTAAATTAGAATGTCAAGTTTTTTATTTTTCTTGAAGATGTAAATATTAGTTAAAAATAATCTTATTATTTGAAATACAGGAAACTGAAAGTAATATTCTACACCCCTGAAAACATAGATTTTTATGTGTTTGTGCATTTATTAATTATCTTTTGAATAGCTAGAGAGGATTTTAATATTCCGTATTAAAAAAGTAGGCCATAGTTGTTTCAATAAAAATAGTTTAGCGTTTTCTATGAAATTTGGAAGAATTTTAGGTAGAATAGATTGTAATTTTAAAAGTAGAACACCGGTCTTCTAGTCATTATATCTATTAGATTTGCTTTTTACTGATTTATTTCATTTTTTTTTGTTAGAAGATAAACAAAGGCAAAAGTGTAAAGTACAAAAGCATTGAAATATGTACGAAAATATTGATGTCATCGAGCAGTATTAATAGTTATGGTTCTTCCTATGTTTCGATTGTAAGCTATGACACTAACTCTGTTCATTGGTCGCATCTCCCGAATGAAATTCTTGATTTTTCTTATCAATTCAGGTTGTGTAGTAAGACATACCATTGGTAAGAAAAGTGGAACAAAATAGGGAGCGAATTGCATTGTCTCCAGTTGATTAATCATAAATAATGGTTGTGTAGTCATTTCAATAAATAATGTGATTACCAAAGGTAACCAAAATCCCATATAGAGTGATGAAACAATCCATAATTGTAACATCATTTTTAAATGACGTCGCCAATTAATTACTCGTTGTCGAGACATCTTTTGATAGAGAACTCGAATAATTAACGTTATATTTGCTAACATAATAATTAAAATAGGAAAAAGAATATTAAAAATAAAATCAAATTTATGTAAAATCTTTTCTCCACCATAACATGGAAAACCACAAAGAGGTAAACTAAAAATCCATACATTTGTGCAAAATGGAGTAATTACAACTACGAAAAGAAAAAATAATGGTCCCCACATTACACAGAAAGCAATGGGAAGAAAATGAAAGATCCATTTTTTCCATCGTACTTGAAATATTGTATGTTCATGAAAAATAAGTAAATGTCGTTCAATAGAAATCCATGCCATTAGATATAATCCAATAGCATTTAAAGAGTATTCACACCATGTCCACCATACACAATATGCATTTGTTGATGGCCAAATATAGTTTAGATAAAAATAACTCATTGGCATAGGTAAATTCAAAATCAATTGAAAGAAAGTATTTGTTAGAAGGATAATCCATCCATGATTTTTCACTTTTGATCGAGCAGGACGATTGAAAATAAAGTAAATAAAAATAAGTAATGATAAAATAATTGCTGGAATTTCAAAAATAACCATTAGAATAAATTTACTCTGTCGTTCCATGATTAAAATAGAAAATCTAATAAGTGAAGTGGCACGTCCTCTTTTAAATCCTCTTTATTATAGAAAACGAGAGCAAAAAATGTCGTCAACACTTCTTTGAAGTTTATTTCTATATATTCTTTACTCTAACGCATCTATTTTTATCTTTTATTATTTTGATAATTAATTTTTTTCTTTCATTCGCTTCTAGTTATTTCTTATTTTAAAAAAATTGTATGTTGCAGACATATAATTTTTATTAAAACTTCTTTGTGTATTTCACATCTTTTATTTATGGAACTGACAGTATGATATTAATTCTCTTTCTCTTTTACTTATTTATATATTATAGAAATTGAATTTCTCTCTATTTATATATTCTTTACGTATGATTTCTTTAATTAGTATCATTGAAAAATAAACATTCATGTTCGATAGTATACAAACGAAATTAATTCTAATCAAGAATTTCTAAAGAGATGAGTTACTCATCAAGCTCAAAGTCTAATAAGCCACACAATTCTATACTGATCGTCCATAAAGATGACGGCTTTGTCAATGAATAATTAGCAATGAAGCTACTCATGAAAGAATGTTCGTGGAGAAAAGAAAATAACAACAACAGCTAACACATCCTTATATTATCAAACATATCGACACCCATTCATACTCTCACTTATATACTGCGGCTCCATCGACACGTTCAGCATTATCCACATACTCATTCATTCACTTATTCTCTCATTATAACTAATCCATACAATACTGAAGCTTCCAAACATCTAAAACTGTCATTTTTAGAATACAATTAAAGGATGGCGAGCGAGGAACAAAGAAACAACTAAGTTTACATCCTAATTTGATCCACACTTGTAGTCATGGTAGGTTAAGTTGTAAAAGTAACGAATAAGTTTCGAGAAGTGCACATGTAACTATATTTAGAAACTTTATTCATTGGGTCGAGTAACATTGAGAAAGCGATCATCTGGAGATCGAGATATCAGAATATGGAACTATTTTGTACTACATATCTCTCAGATAGAAATTGTAATGCTAAACACACGCTGCTTTAAACAATATAAAATTCTTCGATCATATTCATTAATAACAAAAACTAAGGATGAATGTGAATGTGGGTATTTTATTTTAACCGCACCCACACCGAAAGGTGTATGTATGGATAATGGATGAGAAGAATACGCATACCCACATCCTTATTGAATATGATGATTTTTCTCCGATTATTCATTCATCATCACTTCATTTCATTACGGACAAGATTTTCTTGTGTAATTAAATTCTTTTTTCATTTTCTGGGAAAAATCTAAAACTATTAGTGTTTGTTTTTTCTTTCCATTTCTTGTTATTTCCGAGAAGCATTCTTTAAATAGTCATTAAAAAAAAGCTAATAATTTTATTTGATTAATTTTCTTTTGCGCATATAATAATTCATTGAGACATATTATTGTCAATATTGTTTTGCATATAAATTTAATTATATCATGAGAGTTAAACGGTACTTTTCAATCAAAATCAAACCCTAGAGTGATGAAAATTTATATGAATCGTTTTTCATCATTCATTCATACTCAGACAGAGCCACACCCTCTCGCATATCTTCACTCTTGCACTTAAATGAACATCTTGCGATGATTTTTATGAAATAATCAATGAAATCAATTGACGTTAATACAGTGCGAAAAAAACTAATATAGTATAGAAATAAAAAATAAAAAACGTTTCTGAAATACTTGAAAACAAACAATTATCATCTATTTCGTTGATTGACATGATGAAATGTTTTTCAAATGAAGAATGAAACACAAAAACATCGGTTTGATAAAAAATAGGTCAATATGAAATATTTTAAATTCCAAGACTAACCTCGCTTACAGCTAGAAACAATCAAGATTGTTTTCTAATTTAAATAAAAATGCAATTCGTTTCTAGTGGAACGTGCTGCGAAGCATTTTATATTTGTATTGATATTTATCTCTTCTATCAATTTAATTTTTATTTACGATGTTTTTTTGTTGCTATTTTTGTAATACAAACAAGAAATCTGTTGTGAAATACTTCACTGTCATCGGAAACACAATTAAAAAAAATGAAAACCTGATATTCAAATGAAATCGGAAGGAACTTCTATTGTTTAAAGAGAGTTGAACGTACTTTTACGTGAGTTATCCTTAAAAAGAGTCGCGCAGTAAAAGAAATAGAGTGTGTGAGAGAGAGAGAGAGGAAAAAAGAGAAATATTGTGTAGTATTTATTGCTTTGTCATTTCATTATCTTTCATTTTGAGTGAAAGTCATTTTATCTAGTCAACAGTCTTGTTAGTGATGATTCGAAAAGCAGTTTATCTTCTTTTTCTGAATTTGCTCTTCAGGCAAATAGTTGCAGAAAACATGAACCAAATTGCAATGACTCTTCTACCTGGTCGTCAGTTTCAATGTGCCAATGTTAGTTGCTCATCATTTACCACCACGACGGCCCGAAACGTTCAAATCTGTCAAGTGACTTGTTTATCAAACAATCTTTGTAAAGCAGCCAGTTTTCATCAATCAACTTTAACTTGTCAACTGTTCAACAATATTTCAGACCAAAACAGCAATATATTGATTGATGCTGACACTTATTCGATGATAGTCATCAGTGAAACAAGATTACCATCAGGTTAGGAAACATGTTACATTTCAGATAATGTTAGGATTCAGTTGTATCTAGAAAAAATTCATATAATCAACTTAAGATATCACAAAATGAAAGGCTATATAGGAAAATCATGAAGCTAAGTTTCGAAAATATCATTACATTTCTTCTAGAGACATATGCACATAACACTCACATCTCTTTTCATCCATTCTCGACAATTGAGTAAAATCTTACCTATTCATTCTCATCGTACAAATCAACGTCATCTCAGCCTTCCACTGGATAGTAAAATATGCTATGTAAAGCTCGATTACTCTGTATCTATCAGGAATCAAAGATACATAGAATACACAAACACTCTCCTTTCTACATAAATATATAATATTGCTCTCTTGTGTTAAGAATCAACAACAATGACAACAACAGCCATGGCATCATTCTCGTCAACATCACCCTCATTAACATCACCATCAACACTGACAACAACAACAATAACTACGACATCATTCTCGTTCACATTACCCTCGTTCACATTACCCTCGTTAGCATCACCATCGACAACAATGACAACAACAGCCACGACATCATTCTCGTCAACATCACCCTCGTTAACATCATCATCATCATCATCGACAACGACATTACCCGCGTCAATGTCATCATCCACAACATTGATAACAACAACAACAACAACAACCACGACATCCTCCTCGGTAACATCATCATCGACAACAGCGATAACAACAACCGGTCAGTCATAGATTACGTGCTTTGTAGGATTTCTTGAAGTTTTCAGTCGATGAGCTGTCATTTAGTCTGAGAAAGTCCGTTCAAAACTAATTGTGTGTAGGATATAATCTATTTTCGATAATGATCAGCAGTTCTCATCAAAAAGGTTTTCTTCTACACTCTATGTTTATTGTATTATCAAAGTAACTCTGATGAATTTGAGTAGTACATAACGAATGTGTATAGAATTAAATGTAAGGAATACGATACTAATTCTTTTGAACACAAAAACGAAGTATCAAGTCCGATAAATTAACCAGTAACTGACACTAAAAAGAAGCTGTCTGAAATTTTGCCTTTTTCAAGATTGCGCACTTAAGTTTTTAGTCGTTGCATA